CTCGTAGAAGTGGTCCTGAAACAGAGATGTGGTCGGGGGGCAAGCTGAAAGCCATTTCTGAATGACGCCTCCTACTGACCTAGAGCCAGTACACACCGCTCCAGGGACAGAGAGGAGAGAGCAGGAGACAGTCCAGGGCAGAGGCAGGCTCGGAGTCCATGGAGAGCCTCCCTGGGGCAACCCCTGCATCTGCAGGGTCCAAGCCCAGCACTGGCTCTGCAAGGATCTGGCCACTCATACTGTGCCCCTCTAGCATGGGGCATCTGTGGGTCTCCCTGAAGGTGGGCACCTGGGCGGCCTTCCTGAGGGGTCCGAGCATCCCTGCAGGCGTCAGTGATTCCCTCTGTCCCTTTCACCACTGGCCATGGCTGGGGCAAAGCAGCACCATGTGCTTTGGTTCTGGACAGCTGAGGCACCACGAGGCCCAGCATGTCTGCAGGGGCCTCTCCTAGCCCCCTCTCTGCGTGCTGAGGCTTCACCTTGTTGATCAGAAAGAGGCAACAGAATCCAGAATGAGAATGCAACGTGTCACCTACCAGCCCCAGCCCCTGGGGTTAGAGTGTGGACTCGGAGCTTCTGTCCAGCAGAGGCCCCTGATGTTCAGCTGCACCGGGACAGCCGGGCAGGGTGTCTCCTGCAAGGTCAGCTGCAAGGCTGGGGCTGGGGTTTGTAATCGCCGTCATCTCTTGGCCCGCAGGGTTCTCGCACATGCCGCTTTGGTCCTGATGCGCAGGACCCAGGTCTCTCATGAGACCAGTGTTTCCCCCATGAGGCCTGGAGAGGAGGCTTCTGGCCACTCCTGGGTACAACAGGAAGGGAGCAGCAGGCCTGAGCTTTTTATATACACCAACTGCCAAACATTTCACCGTGAATTTCCTGAGACTTCTCTCTTTGGAAAGCTTCTGTTTGTATGTATTAGGCAATGCGCATGCCACCATGTCAGCTACAGGAGACAGGGAACAAGCCACATGGGAACTGATGGAGCCACGGCCACATCCAGTGTCCTCTGCAGCCGCTATGGAGTGCCAGGGGGAGTGAGGGGCAAACAGTAAGATCTTTATGATGTGAGAGAAGCCAGGTGTGGATCAGGGAAGTTGGTTTAATTGGTATGAAGAACAGGATCACTATAAAATATTTTCTCATAGATAAAACTCTCTTTGTATAAAAGTCTCTAGAATGGCGACGGGAAACCCGTAATCATGATTTCAAGTGGGCAGGGAACTAAGGTCTGGGGTCGGGGAGGAAGGGAAACTGTTCGCTGTAAACAGCTTTTAGGACGTTTCCATTGGGATCGAAGGGTGGCTGACTCTGTGACTTTGACGTGAGAATCACTTCTACCTCAGGCACTTGAAAGACGGCACTGGCAAGAGCATCATTGAATCTCTCCTTTTCCTCCTGAAGACAGGAGATAAAAATGCCCATGTGAAAGATGCCTTCCCGGCCAGGTGCAGTGGCTCACACCTGTAATCCCAGCACTTTGGGAGACCGAGGCGGGTGGATCATGAGGTCAGGAGTTCAAGACCAGCCTGACCAATATGGTGAAACCCTGTCTCTACTAAAAATACAAAAATTAGCCGAGCGCGGTGGCAGGTGCCTGTAATCTCAAGCGATTCTCCTGAGGCACGAGAATCGCTTGAACCTGGGCAGCAGAGGTTGCAGTGAGCCGAGATTGCATCACTGCACTCAAGCCTGGGTGACAGAGTGAGACTGTCTTTAAAAAAAAAAAAAAAGAAAGAAAAGAAAAGAAAGACTCCTTTCCCGTACCGGGCAAAGAAATATTCCTTTACAGGGAAGCACATCATAGCCGACAGAATTCTGTACAGACATTGAAGTAATTAAAGTAATTCCTGTTGTTCTCAAGCCTCCCCACGTGGTTTACTTTTCCACAACTGCCTCTTTGTTCAACCTCCTGCAAAAACACATAGGTTTCGTCACTTCTCTGGGTCTTTGCTTCCTTAGGAGGGTTCTGTGTCACATGAAGGCGACATTAAATTTGTATACATTTCTCCTGTTAATCCATCTGATTTCAACTTAGTTCCCAGGCCCAGCCAGGACCCTAAAAGGAGGAAGTAGATATTTCCCTCCCCTACAGTATCATACACGTGTTGCTTTTTTAAAAAAGAAAATCTGGGGCCAGATGCAGTGGCTCATGCCTGTCATCTCAGCATTTTGGGAGGCTGAAGTGGGAGGACTGCTTGAGCCCAGGAGTTTAAGACCAGCCTGGGCAACATAGGGAGACTGTCTCTGCAAAAAATAATAATAAGTAAATAAATAAATAAATTAGCCAGGTGTGGTGGCACATGCCTGTGTTCCCAGCTATTCAGGAGGCTGAGGTGGGAGGATCACTTGAGCCCAGGAGGTCACCGTTAGTGAGCTATGATTGCACCACTGTTCCAGCCTGGGCAATAGAGTGAGACCCTGTCTCTTAAAAAACTTTTTTAAAATTAATTAGTTACCTGATTAACACAGTTCCTTACTGGTGAGGGATTCTCTACAGTGGTCCTTCCGCAGCGCCACCCCATACATGAATGGCTTCTTTTGAAGCTTCCACCTTTGTACAGGTGAGTCTTTGTCTCTGTCTTACCCTGCTTTGTGCTGCCATAACAGAATACCACAGACTAGGTAATTTACATAATGAACAGAAATGTATTGGCTCATGGTTCTGGAGACTGGGAAGTCCAAGACTGAAGGGCTGACAACTGGCAAGGGCCTTCTTGCTGTGTCATCCCCTGGTGGAACAGCAAAGAGAGGGCAAGAGCGTGCCAAAAGGGGGACAGACTAGTCCTTTTATAAAAAATACTTGAATAACAAACCCAGTCCCATGATAACAACATTAACCCATTCCTGACGGTAGAGTCCTCATGGCCTAATCACCTCTTAAAGGTGCTACATCTTAATACTGGTATGACGGCAATTAAATTTCAACATGAGTTTCAGAGGGGACCGGCATTCAAACCATAGCAGTCTCAAATACTGGGCTGGCCGTGGAAGAGGAGGCTGATCTTTAAATCACATAGATTTTTTCTTTTTTTTTTTTTTTGAGACAGAGTTTTGCTCTTGTTGCCCAGGCTAGAGTGCAATGGTGCAATCTCAGGTCACCGCAATCTCCGCCTTCCGGGTTCAAGTGACTCTCCTGCCTCAGCCTCCGAGTAGCTGGCATTACAGGCATGCGCCACCACCACACCTGGCTAATTTTGCATTTTTAATACAGACAGGGTTTCTCCACATTGGTCAGGCTGGTCTCAGACTCCCGACCTCAGGTGATCCGCCCGCCTCGGCCTCCCAAAGTGCTGGGATTACAGGCGTGAGCCACCATGCCTGGCCAGAATGTTCTTTAAAAACAGGGACAATCCCATGAAGTAAACTCACATTGGAATAGTTAACAGGTAAAGTGATCCAGGTGGCTAAAACAATAGACATTCGCTGGCATCCAAAGTACCTAAAGATGAGTACTTTGAGATCGCGCCACTGCACTCCAGCCCGGGCGACAGAGCGAGACTGTCTCACAAGAAAAAAAAAAAAAAAAAAGGATGAGCACTTTCACCTCAAGAGTTGCTGGGCCCAGATGCTGAAAGCACCCTGATGGAACTCTAAAGACACCAGCCTCTGGAGTTTTCATCTCTGGAGTTTTCACAGCCAACAGCATTCCTAGGTAGACTGGCTGTGAACACATCCAGTTGGAGGGTAAAAAGAACAACTTGTGAATGCTCCATAGGTCTTCGAATATGTTAGTAGACACGACTTCAAGCCAGTTGCACAGCCTTGAATATATCCTAGTCTATCACCTTGGGCTGCGAGTGGCTTGTGCGGTCATCTGTCCATCTCTCAGTTGGGCGAGAAACTTGAGGTCCTTTCTGAGAGGTGGCCCTGGCTCTGCCTGGGACCCGCTACTCTTCTTCAAAGTGCATTTTGTATGGGTGGGTTTTCACTGTGGGTCCTGGGCAGGCAAGTGCTGGTGCCCAGTGTTGGGGAGCAGGGTAGAGGTGTGGCCGCTACCTGGCTGGGCCCAGACTTGGCAGCCTTCCTTCATGGCCCCCAACCACAGCCAGTTCCATAGTTTGTTCCTGATGTGTCAGCTTTGTGTCCCCGCGAGAACAATGGGCTCCTTGAGGACAGGCATTGCATCTTCAGGTCTCTTGCCTAATGCACCCTAGGCGCCCAGCATAGACAGCAGGGGGTGCAAGCAGTCAGACAAGCAGGGCTCCCATTACCAGCACGGGACCCAGCCCGTTACCTGGATGCTATGTTTCCCATGTAAACTGGGCAATACCCAATTCTAAGGAACTGTTCTGAGGACTAAATTGAATAGTAAAAATAAATTTAAATTTATTTTTTAATAGTTTTAAATATAAATATTAAATTATTTTTATATTAATATATAATTATAATATATTAATATATAATTAAATTAATATTTATAAATAAAAATAAAAATAAATTTAGTAAAAATAAACAAATTGAAAAGTAAAAAATAAATTGACATGAAGTGAAGGTCAATCAAAACGGACTAGCTTGGCCAGGCGCAGTGTGGCTCATGCTCTCAATCCCAGCGCTTTGGGGGCCGAGGAGGGAGGATCGCTGAAGTCCAGGAGTTCAAGACCAGTCTGGACTACACAGCAAGATCCTGGCTCTAGCAAAACATTAATAAAAATTAGTCGGGCGTGGCGGTGCCCACCGGTGGTCCCACCTTCTCGAGACGCTGAGGCGGGAGGATCGCTCGAGTCCTGGCGGTCGAGGCTGCAGTGAGTCGATTTCGCGCCATTGCGCTCCACCCTGGGCGACAGCGGGAGACTCTTTCTCAAACATAGAATTTTAAAAAGGCCAGCTCGACTGCCGCGGGGGTCGCGTCCTCTCCATCCCCGACCTCGGACCCACCCCCCTGGGTACCCCACGATCTAGACAGAAACTCACTGTTTCTAGTGCTCCGCGCCATCCCCGTCCTCAGAGCGCCGCAACCCTACACCCCCGACCCTGCGCCCGCCCGAGCTGCTTCCGGGTACTTCCGGCGCCCGCCCGGATCCCGGCAGCCGCCGCTCCTGTTTCCGTCGGACGGCGAGAGCGCAGGACCAGCTTCCGGGAGGTGCTCCGCGCGTTCGCCGATCTCTGCGGGGAAGATGGGGAAAGTGAGGGGGCTGCGCGCCAGAGTGCACCAGGCTGCCGTGAGGCCCAAGGGGGAGGCCGCCCCCGGCCCCGCGCCCCCTGCTCCAGAGGCGGCCCCTCCGCCGTCCTCGGCCGCGGGGAAGGTGAGTAGGGGAGGCGCAGGCCGGGGGCCGCCGCGTGGGTCCGAGGGCGGGTGAGCTGCGGGGCTTCGCCTCCGGCAGGGATCCGCGACCCAGGCCCACCCTCGGGCCCTGCGGGCGTTTGCTGCGCGACAGACGCGACCTTCTTGCTTCGCAAAGCGTCGCGACCTCCGAGGCTCCGCTCTGCGCTGCAGTCCTGGGCACACGGCCTCGCGCCGCTCCCGGGGCGGGGAGAGAGCCGGGACCCTCCCGCTGCGGTCCAGGGTTGCCACGCCGACCCCAGAGGTTCCTGAATCGCACTGAGCTCCTAGCAAAGGAAAGGACGTTCCCAGGGTTAAAGAAGGACGGAGAGCAGACTCAAGAGAGACCCCGTTCCCTTTAGCAGTCAGCTGCCTGTTTCCCCATCCCACTCAGCCCTAGGCAAGCACGAATCTACCTTCTGTCTTTGTTCCAGACACTGCACGTGAAAGGAATTACTGCTTTCAGGATTTTTTTTCTTAACTTTTGCCTTAAATATTTTGACCGATGTGTCTTGGTGTAGATCTCTTTGTTTTGCGTGGAGTTTACTGAGCTTCTTGCATGTGTACGTTAATGTTTTTCATTACATTGACAAGTTTTCAACCATTATTTCCTTGAGAATTTTTTCTGCCCTTTTCTGTCACTCCTCTCAGATGCTTCCATTATAAATACGTACGTCGTGCTTGACGGTGTCCCACAGTGCTCTAAGGCGCTGTTCATTCAGTTTTTCTCTTTTCTTCAGATGGCATAATCTCTCTCTTAATTCAAGTTTACATGTTCTCCCAACCCAGAGATACTTTTGAACCCCTCCAGTGAAATTTTTCATTTTTTTTGGACCCCAGAATTTACTTTATTTCTCTCCTCCTGTTCCTCCTCCTTTTAAAAATAGTTTCTCTTTACTGATGTTTTCTTTTTGATGTGAGAATGTCATTATACCTTCTTTTAGTTTTTTAGACAATGGTCTCTTTTAGTGCTTGGAAATATTTATAATGGCTACTCTGAATTGTTTACATGTGGGCTCCTCAAAGCAGTTTCTGTTGCCTGGCTCATGCTTTCCTAGTTCTTTGAATGTATCACTTTTTGTGGAAAATTGGGCGTTTTGGATAGTCTTGTAGCAACCAGGGATTAGTATTTGCTTGATTACTTTGTTTATTGATCTGGCACTGAGCTATGTGACCTCTCTCCTTGTCCCCTTCCAGCTGTGTGTAGCCTCTGATGTGCCCCCTTGTTGTTGTTGTTGTTTTTCTCCTTCCTCTGTTTATCTTTTAGCCTGGCTACTTGGATCTGCTTAAGCTCCTTACTGGTCAGCAATTGTTCTTAACACCTCCTTGGCCAGTGGGTTTTTGCCCTTTACCACTGGATACCTCTGGCTTGGAGGGGCTGTCAGGTTCAGCGTGTTCGTATTTTTGACCTCCCTTCTGCCCTCAGAGAGGCACAGCCAAGGCCTGGTAGCTTACGGAGTCCCTCTGCTCACTCCTGGGAGGGCGCATCGGTGAACACGCGCACAGCCTCCAGACTGCCAGGGATGCGACTTCCTGGGAGTTGTTCCTGGGTCAGAGGGGCTTACCGTCTACCCAGGAGCCTTGGGCACCCTGCCCTCTGCACCCGTCACCACCCAGAGCTCCTTCCTGGTCAACAACACCCTTAGGCGTGAGGGCCCTCACACGAGCTGCAGGCAAAGTGAGTCCCCTCTGGCAGAGCTGTGGAGTTCTTCCTTTTTGCGGTCCACCTCTCCTGGGCAGGAGCTCCATATCCGGACACCAGAGATGGGGCAGGAGCAGCTTCAGCTTCTCAGGTGACATCTCTCTCTACTAGCAGGAGAGGGGTGTGCCCCTAGTCGTCTTGGCTCATTGAAACCTGCGCCGTGCTGGTGGCTGAGGTGGGGCTGATCGGGACCCAGTGTTCTGATGTCCCTGCCTGGGGTGGAAATTAGAAAATAGAATTATCAGACAGAAACTAAAAAACAAGTGTGTCTGAAAATGCGGAAGACATAATTCAGGAATCATAGAAAGGAACAAAGAGCCGTTCAAAAGACTTGGCAAATTTGAAGATAAAAGCAACAGATAGAACTTGTATATATGGCAAATACAGTCATTGAACTTGCATATGGAATAGACAGGTAAAAAGGATTTGTAGTGTCTAATCAGACAATGACATTGTAATCTTTGAAAGACGTTCAAATGATGTAACAGCGTTTTTTATATGAAGCTCCAGAAATATGCATTAATGAGGTATAAAGTGCCACCATGGAGAATGTCCCGGGTACGGTAGGAAAAGCAGTCGTATGCCATATACCAGCGTACATTCATGATCTGGAAGGCTGCACGCTCCCACCCTTGCCCCCACCTGGGCCTTGTTTGCCTGTGAGGCCTCAGCCTACCTGTGCTGCCTCAGCCACCTGCCCACCCATTTGAAGGCTGCCCTGGTCTCCAGCACTGTTGCCCTTCGAGTCTGATATTTTCCCATGTACCGACTTTTCTGTCCTTGCCACGTGACCCCCCAAGACCAAGGGCTTTTCCCTCAGGTGCTGTGGGTGAGGGCGCCTGGGAGATGCAGTCCAGCCCGGCACCTCTTGGTGCTCTAGCTGCCTTCTGCCTCACCTGCACCCTGTCTCCTCTGTAATGTGAGGGAGGCCACATTTTACCTCTACCTTCAGGGTTTTCAGGTTGGGCCTGAGATTTAGACTCACGTAAAACAGGTAAACAGGAGAAAAGCATACACATTTGTCGAAGTTTTATGTGACATGGGAGCCTCATAAGGAAATGAAGACAAGGAAGTGGGAGACCTTTGTGCTTCTGTGAGAGGGTGAGAGGTTGAATGGAGGTGGTTGTGGAAAACTAAACCACGCGGGGAGGCAGGCTGCAGGACGGGAGGGGTTGTGTTCACCAGGTGTGTCTGTACAGAGTGCTTTTGGCTCCTCTCATCCGTCCCCGATGATAAGAATGTCGCTTTCCTTCTGGTGTAGGAGGGCATTTTCCACATGGGGATTTTATCTTCTTTCAGGAAAAACGGAGGGGGTTTATGTGCCCTCTTGGTACCTGCTATATTTTTGAGTGCCTTTAGCTCAAAATAATTCTTTTGCCAAAGTGACATGTTTTGGGGTGGCGTATTCTTTTTTTTTTTTTTTTTTTTTTTTGAGACAGAGTCTCGCTCAGTCGCCCAGGCTGGAGTGCAGTGGCGCGATCTTGGCTCACTGCAAGCTCCGCCTCCCGGGTTCACGCCATTCTCCTGCCTCAGCCTCCTGAGTAGCTGGGACTACAGGCGCCCGCCACCGCGCCCGGCTAATTTTTTGTATTTTTACAAAACGGGGTTTCACCGTGGTCTCGATCTCCTGACCTTGTGATCCGCCCGCCTTGGCCTCCCAAAGTGCTGGGATTATAGGCGTGAGCCACCGCGCCCGGCATGGGGGTGGCGTATTCTGACGCCCTTCAGAAACCTCTGTTGAGGTCGGTGCTGCCTTCCCTGCCAAGGTCAGTGAGGCTTGCACGTGAATGGGCCAGGCAGCACGGGGGTCAGGGACTGGGGGTTCTGTCTTCTCACAGTGTGGTCGACAGCTGACTTGGAGGAGCTGAAATCTTCATGTAGGGATGAGTGTGGCTCAGAAACAGACCTGGCAGAGAGGCCGCTGAGATGACTGGTTCTGATGGGGTGTGGTCATTCTGAGCTGAAGGGGCTGGCAGGCTGGGAGCTGCCTATCCTTCATCTGCTTAGCTGCAGGTTTCTTCTGCGACACAGGAGGATGTTGTAGAAAGAGTAAGACGAAACGGTTGGGCAAGAAATTTGGTTCTTGAGATACTGGTCCTGACTCCTGAAGCCCATCTGGTGATTTCAGGCAGGGAGCAGGTGGGCCTGGGTGCTGTGGGTCTGCCCTGGAGCTCTGGGGCCGGAGGCTCCTGCTCTGGGAGGTGAGGGCTGTTTCCCCCAGGTCCTCCCAGGCAGAGAAGCTGGGGAATCCGGGTTCTTGTCCTCCGTCTTCTCCTCACCTTTAACTTCCCTCTGAAACCACAGAGCAAGTCTCACACCGTTTTTTTCCTTCCTTTTTTGTTGGGGACATTAGGACTGGGCGTTCATCAACACCAACATCTTTGCCAGGACCAAGATAGACCCCAGTGCCTTGGTGCAGAAGCTGGAGCTGGACGTGAGGAGTGTCACTTCTGTCAGGAGAGGTGAGCAGTCTTAAGTGCGTGAGTTGCCATGCTGATGCCCAGCAGATCTGGGATCACTCACTCACACACCCGAGGTCTCAGCAGCTTTCCAGCTAACCTGTACCTGACAATGTCCTTGAGCAAGGGATGCCCCTGGCTGTTTGTTGGGGTGATTACCCAGAGTAGATTGCAGCGGTGGTTTTGCCCCTGGGCTGCATCTTGTCCCCCCAGCTACGCAGGGACTGCCCTGCATCCTGGCAGCAGCGCTAAAGCCACAGGAACTTGGGCTTCTTTGGTGACCAACAGGGTTTGAACTCTTTTCTCCGTGTGTGCTGATTCTTATGGTCTGTCTCTATGTTTGGGGCAGTTTTGATCCCTTTTCTTAAACAAGTGCTTTATGTGTTGCAGAGGTTAGCTGTTTATCATTTTGTACAAATAACTCGTTAGGGTTTAGATCCTGAAGCCCAAGTGGGGTCTTGTCAGTTTCATCAGAGCCACGCGCAGCCCTTCCCTGTCTCCTGATTATACTCCTTGCAGCCCTGCAGCACACACGTCAGCCTGGCCAGGGAGAGGCCCGGGAATTCGCACTCACTCCAGTGTCTGGAGCTTAGCAGGGAATGCAGTCCCCTGCACCTCCTACTGAGCCTGAGGTGTTCTAGAGAGTTCCAGGCCTCCATGCTCAACGCCGGGAGTGTTGACTTTCTGGCTGGAGGATGGTGACACAGTGTCACTCCCAGGGATAAATCCAGGAAAGAGCTTCCTTCACTCATCTAAGGGAGTCCATGAGGGCCACAAGGAATACTTTTTACATCTTGACAGCCTCAGAGAGCCATGGGTTGGGGAGGGAGAGGGCCTGGCTCTGGGTGCAGAGCTCAACTTTTTACATCTTGACAGCCTCGGAGAGCCACGGGTTGGGGAGGGAGAGGGCCTGGCTGTGGGTGCAGAGCTGGGGACACCAGTGTGACAGTGAAGACTGCACTTGACTTCACAGTCTGCAGAGCTGGGAGTGCCAGGACAGGGCACGAGCCAGGTCTGGGGCCTGTAGGCAGCCCCTTGAGAGCGTGGCTCTGGGCCTCTGCTCCTCACCGCCTGGTAGCCTCTGGCTGCACACTTGATCACTCTGGGCCTGGGTTTTGCATCTGTCAAAGGTGGTAACAATATTTATCTCCTAAGTTCTGGCAGTTTTGAGGTTGAGATGAGTTAGTTGGTGTGAAACGTTTAAAACAGTGCAGTGAAGGCCGTGGAGGTGTCCGCTCCGCATCTGTTGAGTGAGGCTGGTCTGGCGGCAAGGCTGGGGATGAGTGGGTTTTGCAGCTGCCCAGAGGTGGCCAGCCTTAATTCCTTGGGCGTGTCGTGTGATTGTGGTTGCTCTCTGACCCTTAGCTCCATTGTCCACAAAGCGGCGACAGACATAGCTCATGGGTGCTGAGGGCTTCACTGTGCCTCTGGAAAGATCCAGGTACATTTAGCCAGTGCTGGTTTCCTGCGCCTTCTCTCCGAGGAGGACCTGGTGAGGTGACCAGGCCAGGTAACTCCAGAGAGAAGCTGTGCCTTCCAGCCAGAAGCCTCGATGTTGTGGGTGGTCCACCCGAGCTGTGCGCTCCCTGATTGCCGATGAGGCCACTGATGCTGTCCCCAAGGGGAGGGGAGTCATGGGTCTCACTGACCTGGCTCTGGCCTGAGCTTCTCAGAGAAAGCTTCTCTTTCACACAGCGGCCTCTTTCCTCTGCCTTTTCTTGGCCCTCTCCCTTCAACCCCTGTGACTCATCTGGTCCCCAAGGCCACCTGCTGCACTGACCCTCACGTCCCCTCTTCCCCTCCTAATTGAGGGAGGTGTCACGCTCACGACCCCTCTTGCCTACCAGGGAAACTCCTCATTAGCAGCATCTGGCCTCGCAGTGTTCTTGGGCTGAGGTCACGCCCAGCAGCCCTGTGGCCTCTCCTTTGAGCCACCCTGGATCTTCTGGTTTTGTTTGTTTGTTTGTTTGTTTGGAGACGGAGATTTGCTCTGTCACCAGGCTGGAGTGCAGTGGCGTGATCTTGGCTCACTGCAACCTCCGCCTCCTGGGTTCTAGTGATTCCCCTGCCTCAGCCTCCCGAGTAGTTGGGACTACAGGCACATGCCACCACGCCCAGCTGATTTTTGTATTTTTAGTAGAGATGGGGTTGCACCACGTTGGCCGGGATGATCTCGATCTCTTGACCTCGTGATCTGCCCGCCTTGGCCTCTAGGTGCTGGGATTACAGGCGTGAGCCACCACGCCTGGCCAGGTCTTTGTTTTCTGTAAGCTCAAACCTCATTAATTTAGAGTAACTGGTGGGAGAGGGTAGAAGCTTGAACTTTATGGTGTCAAAGATTGATTTCAAATTTCAGAACCACCTTATGAGAGTAGAGCATAGAAATGTTTTCTTGAAGTAATTGAACCATAAGTTGAAACAATTTGAAGATTCTGTTGATTGCGAGTTCATTGGGTAATTAATTTTTTTCTTAATTCATATACCCTTATTTGTGCATAAAAACCTTAAAGCTTGTGCCGACCGGACTGTAGCGTGGCCCGTTCTGGTGCTCCCCAGCCCTGAGCTTGTGCCGACTGGAGCATGGCCCGTTCTGCGCTCCCCAGCCCTGAGCTCGTGTTGTTTGGACTGTAGCTTGGTCCATGCTGGCGCTTCCTGCTTGTGTGCAGTGTCTCCCATAGCTCTCCTGGAGGGGCACAAGGATGGGAATTATTTGAGCTGTGTGGCAGGGTCAGGGTTTTGGGTGTTGGGGCCTTGGCCTGGGGATGCACTTAGTGGCTCTGGCCAGGAGCCGGTGGTTTTGTGCACTGCCCATGGCTGTGATTTCTGCCTCAGTGCCCCAGGGGGATTCAGGAGAAGGTGCTCCAAAATGGTCCCTTGGAGGTTGTCCTTGAGGTGCGTTCCAGGTGGCCATCCTGTGGAAGGGGGTGTCCTGAGCTCATCGCCGCGGGCCCCCATCACAGCCTTCCTGGAGCGAGGCCTCTGGCCAGCCATCTTTGTCTGTGGCTCTCGGCCCAGGGTTCTGGTGCATGTTCCTTCCACCGCCTGCTGTGGGTTCTCTGCACTGAAGAGTCTTGGGCTGGATGAAGGGGACCATTGGACCTCACAGAGGGCTCAGACGAAGGGACAAGCCTCCACTTCCCCTGGGATGTGAAGTGCCAGCTTGGCAGGGTGGCAGGGGTGCCTGGCCCCATGGGTGGGGCCCGCAGACCCTCAGTGGAGCAGCCCCACAGGCGGAGGGGCTTGCCCTGGTCTGGGGGCCCCAGCCCCTTTTCTTCGGGCTTCCGAGGTATCCAGGTGCCTCACTGGGCTCCTTTGCATCTTGGCTGCTCCTCACCATGTTCCTCCCTCTCTCCAGGAACAGTTCTGTTTTTTTGGTGTGGTCTCCTCAGCTCCTCATTGGCTGGTGCCCTGGGTCCCTACCGCCCCACCCCCACCCCACCCTGGGCTTGTGCTGGGGCCTGGGCCCAGGGCAGGCCCATGTCGTGCAGATACTGCATCCTGTGACTTGGCCGCCACCCCTCAGTGACCCTCCTGGCTATGGAGGTGAGGTGGCGGCCTGTGGGTGCCTGTCTGTCTGGATTAGTGCAACACCAACTTCCGAAGATGTGTCTCATCGTCCTTGCCCTGGCCTGAGTTGGAAATAGCACTGCATGCCGCATCTCTGGCCAAGGAGCCGGGTGGCCCAGGGGAGGGGTCTAGGCTGTGGCCCATCACTTGGTGGACATCCATGTGCCCACCTGCGCCCCTCCTCTATGTTTTTTTGAAATTGGGATCCCAGCTTGCCCGGAAGCCATATCTGCCCCCAGTTCCCTTCCTATGCCCTGGGGCCTGCCTTACCATTACAGGTGGGCCCTGCATCCTGAGAGGGACCCTCTGAGCTCTGCATCCTCCTGCCATGAGAGGAGGAGGGCATGGGTGCAAGGCTGAGGCTGGCCCAGAGTCCCCTTCCGCCCCAGCTCTCTTAAGACTCTCTGCACCTCCCCAGCAGGACTCCGCTTTGCCTGTGGGTCAGGTTGTGTATGCAGGGGCTTTGTGGCAGCCCGTGGACCCCATATCGAGGCTACAGCTCCTCCGTGTCTGCTCTGGGGGTGGCGAGGGACCTGTGGCAGAGCTGGGGTGAGCACCCGTCTCCTGAGCCTCCCCCCACACAGTGCCACCTGCTGTGCGTGCTGTGCAGCCCGCTCTAGCTGGCGCAGTGAGCTTGTGCAACACCAGAGCCTGGCAACCGGCCGGGTGTCCAATGGTGGCTGCATCCTCCAGCCTTGGGCATGGCGCCAGTCCTTGGCATCAGGCAGTCCGGGGAGCTGGTTGTGCAGCCTTGGACACAGTGCCAATCCTTGGCATCAGGTGGTCCGGGGGAGCTGGTCATGCAGCATCATGTGGTCCAGGGAGCTTGTCGTGGAGCACGCTTAGAATTGGATTTCTAGTTCTGTGTTCCTTCATACCAGAAAATGAACCCACCTGTTTTCAGACAGGCACTCGGGACTCAAGCCCAGAGACACAGGCAGGGTGGGGCGAGGCCTGGCGTGGACTCAGAGCCAGGTGGGCCTGGGGGCCCCTGGAGCAGAGGGTGGAGGGAGGCCTGTCACCATTGCTGGAGAGGGAGCTCAAAGCACGGTGGACGGCTTGGGGGCGTGAGGGCCATGAGAGGCGCCGGTGGGGTTACAGGATTTTGGAGTTGTTGCTTTTCTGGCCAGATACCTGTGGCCGGTGGCACCTTTGCTCGAGTTTTGCCCAGGGCCGCTGGGCTCGTTTCACCCACTTGGCCTGGCAGGCTGTGCTAAGGTCATGCTACTGGCCTGGATCCCATGGCTCCAAGGGAGACTGGAGTCGGGCGTGGAGTGGCAAAGGGTGTGTGTGAGCAAGCATAGGGTCCGGCCGTTGCAGGCCAGTGCCAAGCCACCCTCAGCCCCTGCCTTGGCTTCCTCCCAGAGCTTGTTGGTGCCCAAGGTCCAGAGGAGCCCGAGGTGGCAGGGCCTGGGTGTGTGCACACCCAGCCGGGC